CATTATAATTATTAATAATATTAATGAAAATGTAGATATTTTGGATTTCCATTTGTTCATTGTTGCACTTTTCTCATGGCCCACCCCTCCCCTCCAGTTTGTTCTCCTCTTTGAAAAGTAAAAGAGAAGATCTTACTGGATTTTGAAGAGTAGTGAATGTTATGAATGGTTTTCTCTTTAATTTGATAAATACTATAGTCAACTCATAAATTCTTGGAATTTTAATTTAAATTAGTTCAAATTAAACAGAAATTTTGAGACCATCTTTGAGTTTATGATCCAAAAATAGACAGTGACATTGACATACACCTAAATACATAGAAAAATATCCAATAAATTTTAATAAAGTTAATGGAATAAGTAAAAAAAATCAATGAATATATATATCTTTAAAAGAAAAATTACACATGGAGAAAAGTTGAAGTGGATAATTATTTCATTTTCTTTGGATTCATAATCAATTCATGGTAGCAGCAATCAAGAAATTAAAAGATGTGGTATGTACATATTTGTTGAGTGCCTAGCATATAACAAGCAATTACTTTTGATGATTCCACACATTGTTGCTGTTGTTGTGTGTGGTCAAGTCAGCTGACCCTCCAGTGGGTTTTCAGAGGTATTAAATAACAAGTTTGGTATTCTCAAATCAGCCTTGAATCATAGGGATTTCATCTTTATGGTTAAGTTTATGTATCAACTTGACTATGATTCTTTACATAATGCTATAATGTGGCAGAAAGTAGGTAGGTAGGTAGATACTGTCGTTGTGTACCGCTGAGTTGGAACTGAACCATAGCTGACCCTCCAATAAGCTTTCAGAGGCAGTTAATCACATTGGAGAAGATTGCTCATCTTTATCCCACAGAGCAGCTGATGGAGTCAAACTGTATACTTTTCGGCTATCAGTGCAACTCCTTTCCATTAGGTCATCAGAGCTCCCTGATAGGTACATGCAGCTAGATAGATAAAGAGAGTGAGCTACAAACCAAGAAATACCATGCAACACTGAAACAACAATCCCTTTCTACCAGGAGTGCCTTCATGTCTTGTGTGCAACAGACACTTTTTCCTAACACACTGAATCCCTGCTTAAGCTTTCCATAAACTAATGACAAAATTATTTAACCATAATATAAGGCTGATATTGCTTGGAAGTTTTCCCACCAAGTGCCCTTCCGAGTTTATGGTTTCCAAATTTGTTACATATATCTAAAGGATATAATACATCATATACATAATATGTTTGCCTTTGAACGACCCTATGAACAAAAGGCCTGAAGTCTTTCTGTAACTATCAACATTTATCAAAGTTCACAAAGTTTCCAGAGGCATATTGTTTAGTAAGTGGATGCCACTCCTGATACATAATATAGAGCTATCAGTTTTTGCTTTATTTTATGTTGACATCAAAATTCTAGGTGGTTTAATTAAAATTGAAGGGAAGGCTATAGCGAAAACATTTAAGGCTGAAAATCTTGGAATGAATAAATAGAATGTAAAGAATCTAAGGTGCATCTGATACAGGTTATGGTCTTTACAATCACTTGTTATGCATCAGAAAGTTGGACAATGACTAGGGAGGATAGGAGTATTGATGCTTTTGAGCTTTGGTGTTGGAGAATAGTATTGAGGTTACCATGGAGTGCTAAGAAAACAAACAAGTTCATCCTGGAGAGGGTTAAACCTGACTGCTCCTTGGAAGAAAAGATTCTGAGGCTTCATCTAACATACTTTGGCCATGTTGTAAGGAGAGACTGGTCCTTGGAGAAGGACATCATGCTTGGGAGGGTAAAGTGACAGCGCAGAAGGGGAAGATCCTCTATGAAGTGGATTGATTCAGTGAATGGGGTAATTGGGATGAATGTGTCAGAGGCAGCGCAATTGGCACAAGGTAGAGCAGGGTTTAGGGCTGTTGTACATAGGGTCGCTGTGAGTTACAATCAACTCGACGGCACATAACAACAACAACAAAGAATCTATTTACAAAGTACAGTACAATATTGTCAGAAGCAGATTTTCATGTCTCAAAGCCCATCTCATCTATTATTAGAAAAAACCCTCCCTCATCTAGCTTTGCACAATATATGGCTTTCAAGAAATACTATTTTAAAGTTATCAGTAGCTTCTAATTTTATATTTCCCTTCAAAATGGATATTTGGGAGATTATATTGTATAATTAACATCAACCTTCCAACTTTATGTGATAAGTCAGTACCATTAAAACATTACTAATGACTAAAGAAATATATTTATTTGGTTTACTATTCAAGTTCTAAAATATCTGGATCACGTTAAAAGACTATGATTATTAATTGCTGTTGAAATTTTGAAGATGCACAGAATTAATTTGGAGGATAGGTAATGCAACAGTGTTGTGTGTGTGTCTGTGCATCCACGCTCGTGTGTGTCTTCTCAATGAGACTCTTGCCCATGTATGGGGACCCAAGGAGAGAAAGGGTGAGAGCAGAGGGGTGAGGATGGGTAGGGGCAAAACCGTAGCATTGCACAATTTGGTGGGTGGAGGAAGGGGTTATGAAAATGTGAAGAATGTGGAGGAGAACTGAAAAGACAGGGTAATGACAGGCACGGTGCAATAGTGATTAATTTTATGAAACATGCATGGAATGATTGTTTGAAACACAATGTGAATGAAGAATAGTGTGAAACACAATATATACAAACTTTGTAAGCAAATCAATAAAAATATAAAAAAGAAATTTGAATAATATTTATAAATTAACATTTATAAGCAAAATAGCTTACTTGTTAAACTGATATTGACTATCACATCTTCCTTTGTAGGATTCTTTAATGATATAATGAGGGATGAAGGCATATGGAGTGCTGCAGATACTCTTATTTTTCTGAGAGGCTGGGGGAAGAGTCCAATTCCAGATAACACATATTTCCACTCTTTAAACTGTTTAAAGATAAGCATGCATATTATAACAGATAAATTTTATTTGTAACACTTAATACTTGCTATATACATAGGAAAACAAAAAAAATGATTTTCACATTTAACACAACTACTTTATTTTTCCCTTCTTTTCTAAGTTACTTTTTATTTTATTCAACAATTAATATATTTATATGCTGTAAAAAGAAGGCAAGACACCAATATTTAAATATCAAGTGTATATCAGTGCATAAAAGTTACTTACATGTAGCATAAAAGAAAAACATAAATAGGAGAACCTTACATTTCTGCAAAGCTTTTATTAAAAATGAGATGTGTTTGCATAATATTGAGTACTAAACATTATATGAAATTTTCTTTGTTTTTTAAATTTTTTTCTTTTAAAAAATTTTCTTAACATATTAGGATGAATTGCAAATTAAATTCTGTTACCATGTGAAACAAAGAAGATGTCCTTAAAAGTGTGTACATCTCCATGACATATTATTGATTCTAACCATGAAGGTTAATGTGTGTTCTTTGTTCAAACTACATGGTGGTATGACTTAAAAATTATGTGGAGATTGAATATGCCTTTTGTTCTCATTTGAATTTCATAAGCCTGCAAAGCTCTGTTTGAAAGTGTTTTTATATTCAATTGGTTAGTGTATTTGCTAGTTTCTGTGTGGCAAAACTCAGTTAACTTGGGACTCAGAAAAAAAATTCAAAAAAGTTTGCTTTCTCTATTTCCCCATGCAGAAAAAAAATTATTCAACTTCTAACCTAAATCACATGCCACCGTTATGGAACACAAACACACAACAGATGTCCTAATGTTGCATAGAGTGTCTACTTGGATGCAGAGAAAGTAAAAATCATCCCAATGAGTATGAAATATTTAAAATAAATATGTTCATATCTTAAGTCCACCTTAATCTCAAATTCCTGTAAAGAAGAAACATTAAAACCTTTAAATATCCAATTGTAATGTTTCTAAATGATAAGAGAAGTATTAGTAAAAGAGTAAATCTGTTTGATTGTTGAGCAGGGCTCCAGGATCTCAGTTTGCTGGAGATCAAGGTAACTTTCCCTAGTCAGACTTTAAAGAGTATAGACTGATGATGGGTTAGAAAATCACTTTAATTTTTTATCTTTTTCCTTCAATCTTTTTTCCATGCTGACCTGTAATAAAGCAAGCCACATAATCAAGTCTAAATGGAATAAATAATTCTAATTAATTCAGAATAAAAACAGGACATCTGAAATTGAACAAAATAACTTGAGCAAAATATCTGAAATCAATTTTCACATTGCTTGCCTCCTACTGTTCCTCTTATTCTGTTTGCAATAGCAGAATCTCATATAGAGAGTGAAGTAGTATATGATGCATTCATAGTAATACTGGTCATGATGTTCTATCTAAGTAACATTTTTGGGATGCGAAATATACATAAAACAACTCTGAACTAAAATTTGAGATTTACACTGTAGAGCTCTTCACATGGAACAAAACCAAAAAGAAATGAAGTGTCTAATAATCCACAGTTGGCTTCTGTCACGTTAACAAAGAAGCACAATCAGAAATAGTTAAAGCTTAACCTAAAAAGCACTGCCATTGGTTAGTTTTACATGAATCAGCTACTACTAAGTTTTATATGTCAGTTCAGATACATTTACTCAATGACATCAAGAGAAGAAAAATATTTCTGTGAATTTTCCTTCTTGATAATGGAAAAATATTTCCAACACTTAGACCTAGAAAATAAATCCTAAAGGTTTAGTTTAATTTTTAACAAAACCAGTGCTCCACTGGTTCACGTAAGATGTGAGTGGATTATTTATTTGAATTGTTTGTTTTGTGTTTGAAAACAGCCTCTTTTCAATGTCCAGGCTTGGAATTTCCTGAAGATATTAAGACACTGACCCTCCTTAGGTGTCTGCATAGATACAATATTTTCAAGACAAAGTAGCGTTGGGTATAGATCAATGGTGATTAATTTTATAAAACACAATGCATGGGAATGATTGTATGAAACACAGTGTACATGAAAGAAAGTGTGAAACAATGTATATGAATTTTGTATGGAAACCAATATAAAACAAAATTCATTTAAGTAATATTTTAGATGAACTGATTAGTTGGGTAAATGAAAGAAAAATTGAATAATATCAAGATGAAAAGGAAAGGCTCAATTAAAAAGTTCAGGGCAATCCATTGAGTAGGTTGTAGGAGCTGTGCCAGGATAAGATGTTGATTCAACTTCTGCTTCACAGGACACTTTGAAAATAGTTATAATGTGGATGGAAGTGGTCAGAATGACTGGAAGGAAGCATCAGTATCAGTGTATTGTTGGTCCACACAAGGTGTGAGTCGACTATTGACTTGTTGCATTTCTTTTGTGGTTGGTAAATAATGTCCCTTTTAGCTTCAAGGTTTGGAGTTTTCTGAAGATACTAAGATATTAATCTGCCAAACTGTCCTTGAAGAAGTATGCTTTACACAGAAATGGAAGAAATTACAAAAAAATTCTGCAGTATTTAAGTAAGATTAAGGGGCTCTCTCTCTTTTCTGGGAAGTATTTATTTATTTTTTTAAATTGTAAGTTGATTGGGAAGTTTACAATACAGGTTGTTGTTGTTCTTAAGTACTGTTGAGTCGCAGGAGAGTCCTCAACGCTTGGGTGTCTTTCATCCTCTGTCCAGGTTCATTGGGTTTCTGGAGGCAAGCTATTATGGAAGTGGATGCCACTCCTCCTTCCAAGCTTGTTTTAATCGGGGCGCTCCACCCCACACTCTGTCCGCATTGGGTGACCAACCATTAATGCATTTGACACATCAGTGTCACAGTGTTCAGCCTCACAGCAAGCACAAGTTACCACTGTACGGCAACTTGTACACAAGGGATATACGACCTAGAGGAATGTCTTAACAAAAACAATAAAAGACATGCCTGAGGGCTGCAGGTCCGAAGGCCCTTCAGTGTCTTACCAGCCTGGCACACCCAAATGCTGGCAAACTCCTTGCCCCAGACCCCTCATTCATCTGGCAAGTCTGCTCTGTCAACCCCTATATGGGGCCAAAAGAACACCACAAGTGCCCAGAGCCCTCAAACCTGCCATGCCTCAAGAAGCCACAATATAGGTTCTTTCTTTTTAAATAAATTATTGTATACATATTTTGTTCCATAGCATTAATTACAATACAGATAATATATAAATGTCCATTCATTCCATACTGTCCTTCCTTTACATATTGAAATAAGTTTTGTCTATTAAATAAAATATTTCTTTGTCAAAGATATTCGTGTCAACTAAAATAAATATCACTGTACTTTGTGATTTGTAAATAAGGACATAAATTTTTGGTCAACATTTTTGAGAATCAACCTACTTTCAGTGCTTGCTTCAAGTCATATTTATGTAAATTATTCTCTGGAAATGTAACAAGTTTTCTAATGATTTTCTAAAGGGAAATTTCCCAGTGTTTTAAAAGGATGACACTTCACTCACACACAGGCCCTGCACTGACTAGGGACTGTGAGTTTTATATGTGGTTCCATTGTCTCTCAGACAGCAGGGTTTGTCATTTCTTTGTGTCCCAGGATATAAAGTATATTCTCCTCCATTTTCTTTCTTCCTTATTAAGACTTGAATAAGTTAAAAAATCAGTAATATTTAAAATTGGAAGTATGAGTGGTATCCACTTCCATAATAACTTGCCTATGGAAACCCTATGAACCTGGAGAGAGGATGAAAGGCACCCAAGCATCGAGGACTCTCCTTCATAGCATTGCTATGAGTCTCCTGCGACTTGATGGCACTTAACAATAACAACAACAATATTTAAAAAGTTATCTAAAAGTTTCATTGGCACTAGGGAAGATACAATCACTTTGAAAAGTGTATGCAGCCGTGAAAAACCACCATGGTGATGAGCTAAAGGCAGATATGCTGGTTCACCTCCCAGCTCAACTTCTCCCTGGTTGCCTAATCATAACTCCTCTGCCTCAATTTCCTGATTTATGTAACTGGGTTGAATAAGATATTTCCATTATAGGACTGTGGAGTGAATGAACTGCCAACAGTTCTTAGAATGGCTTGTAAAGTATTTAAGGTGCTCACAATAATTCACATAGCTTGCTTAATTATTATTAAGGTAAGTTTAACAGATGAAATGGACTGAAAAAAAAAATGACACAATTACTTAAATCTCCCCCCACCCAGTGATGAGAATCGTTTTCTTTTTTGTTTTTAAAGAACATTATACTAATGTTGTCTCACAAGAACAAATACTGTGTAAGACCATCATTGTAGAACATGTGTGAGGATCCAAGAGGAGAAGGGGGAGTAGAGTAATGAAGATGGGTGAAGGAGGGGTTATTAATCATAGGACCATGCAATATCATGGGTGGATGGAGGGGTGGGTAAAGGAAATGGGAATGATTTGGTATGAAAACAAGTGTATACGAACCTTGTAAGTAAACCAGCATAAAATACAAATTTTATTTTTTAAAAAAATTACTTACATCTTACTCTACATTTTGATCATTAATTTCATAAAGAGTTGAGTAGTAAGTCAGAAAATTCACATAAATTTCAAGTGATGTGGCATTACTTTAAAATAAAGACCTTTTAAATCTGTGTGTAGATTCTCAAACAAACTAATGCAATCAATGTAATTTAAAGCATTAAGCTAATATAGCTTGGCTCAGAAACATCATACCTGAACACAACGGAAGCTAATTATAGCTTGTTGATCCTGCCGCCCTATTGCAGTAGGTTTGAAGTAGACAGCCAACTCTGTAGTAGAGTAAGGATTCACCTTCCACTGTACAGGTACACAAAAAAGCAGAAGAGAAATAATAATACTTTTATGAGTTCATATCTTTGTGTGGTTTACAGGCAGAGTTGCTGTCCCAGTGATGAATGAGTTGCCTTGCATATATTCCCTCTTCTCAGCATACCTGTCATTGGTAATCTGACATGTGACAAGGAAGATTTGCTAAAGCTCATTTGTATGCTTTTCTTCAGACACTCATTGACTGTATGAAGTCACCTGCTGTGTAAAAGGATGATGACCTTATTTGTGAACTTGAGTTGAAAGTCTCAAACCAAAATTCACTTCTTTTGTCTGAAGTACATGACTTTTCATTTATGCCATGGTCCATGTGAAACCATGAGGAACCTGAATGGCTCTCAGCACAGATGTAAGATACATCTGCTTAGTTTGTAACAAACTTTTTCCATCTTCTTACCATAATCTGTTCATAATGAATGGGAATGATCTCTTTAGGGGCACTGAAAGAAGACCCTATTTGATTCTCAAATACAATGGGATGAAAATACTTACTGTACTAAAAATGCTAGCTGGAAATAATACAATATTTACTGTCAGTCCTAGCAGAAGAACAAATAAATATGCTTTGGAGAGGGTAAAGCAAGAGTGCTCTTTGTAGGTAAAAATGATGACGTTTTGCCTCACATACTTTGGGCATGTTGCTAGGAGAGGCTATTCCTTGGGAATAGCTGGGAAGGGTGGAGGGTCAGCAAAGGAAAGGAAGACCCTCAACAGGGTGGATTGACGCAACGACTGCTGCAGTGGGCTCAGGAAGTGTGAGGATATCATGCTCGGAAGGGTGGACAGACAGTACAGGAGAGGGAGATCCAGGATGAGATGGATTGATACAGTATTTCTTGCAATTGGAGTTGGTGTGTTGGAATTAATGAGATAGGCTCAGGACGGAAGGGTTCAAAGCTGCTGAACATAAGGTTGCTATACATTGCAGGTGACTCAACGGCACACAACAATAACAACAACATACTCTATTGGGTTTTCTTTTTTTTTTAATTTAAGCCTCTTATTTAGAGTCAACATGACCTCTAGAGGGCCTTTGTATTAAATGTTGGTTGTTATTATATTTTGGAGGAACATTCATCTTAGTGATACATCACTCTTCTGTCAATAAGCTGTACTGAGGTAACCTGGGGTTGCTGTGATGCTGAACCTTGTGCCATTTGGGTATCAAATGTTCTAATGGTTACTCATGGTGAGCAGTGTTTGGTGGAGCTCCCAGTTTAAGACAGGTTTGGAAGCAGGAGTGGCATCCACTTTCTGAACAACATGCCTCCAGAAACTCTATGAACGTTGATAAATGTTGATAGTTATAGAAAGGCTTCATGCCTTTTGTTCATAGGTTGCTGAGTCATGCTCTGCTCAAAGGCAAATAACAACAAAAAGTTGAATTGCTGAATGTGTAAAGTATACTGTTTTGAACTGTCACTGCAAATGTTTGGTATCTATGTTTTGGAAACAGAGTGAAGCTAATGTTGTAGATCTTGTTGTGTAACTTAGGTGTTGGATAAAAGTGAGTGAGACCCATGGACTGGTTCCAGTCATACATGTAGGACAAAGAAAAAGAACAATGGAGGAGAGGAGGACAGAGTCTGGAAATGAGAGGAGGTAAGGAAGGGACTCAGGAAAGTCAAGGAAAAAATCCTAGAGGCTCTAGAATTATATCATGACCATTGATTCAAAATCATATTACATAAGCAGATTCCTAAAAAAGTCAGAAATAAAACACACTTAGTTTAATTATAACTTACTGATAATAAGTATGACTCTAGTACTTTAAAAATGTATGTGAATATGAAAACTTCTGAGAAATAATTAGAAGAATATGTACACAAATAAAATAAATTCATTTTTATATTTTAGAAATGCTCAGCCTTATTAGGACAATATGCTAGAGTGCATTCAAAGCAGATTTGTTAAGTACTCTAATACTTGTGGGATACTTAGGTTTCTAAATGCACTTACTGGTGGTGGGTTTTTGCAATCAAAAAAAAAATTAATAGGGTTGCTGTTTGTTGTTGTCTCCAGTTCTAATGTTTCATATGTTGGGTTAATGAAGGAGATGATTTGAGTGGTTTTCCTGAAAGAAAAAAACAAAGATGGCTAAGTTGCTAAAATTATAAATTTTACAAACTTGCCTATTTATAATCCTATAAACTTGCAAACTTTTTAAAGTTTCAAAATAAAAGTGATACTGTACAAAGTAATCAATTTTTTTTGGAATTTAATAATTCTTAATTCTTCAAATTTTAGATGAAATCTTATTACATTTTGTATACTGGAAAATATTTGTTTCAGAAGCACTTGTTTACCCACTATTTTATAACTACTAGATCTAGCCCCCCCAAGATAGCATAGCCTAGCAATTGTAAGAAAAAATTAATTCAGAAGGTCTCATCCAAGCTTAAACTTAAATATTTGTTCCATTCCACACCTGCTGTTGTTTTTATGTGCCATAAGTCAGAACAAACTCCTATCTGGACCTCCAGTGGGTTTTTAGAGGCAGTAAATTGCATGAGAAGAGACTGCCTAACTTTCTCTCTCAAAGTAGCTGGTAGATTTGCTTCTTGTGGCTTCGGGTTGATCCATCCCTGATAACCAGCAAAGAATGTTTCTTTCTGTGTGTAAATGTTAAGTGTCTTAAGTTATTAAAGAAAAACAGAAAAAGAAGGAATACTCCCAGTCATTCTATGAAGCAAGTATAACCTAATACCAAAAGCAAGTAAAGATATTACTAAAAACAACCCTACTGATCTATATTTCTCATGAACATAGATGCAAAAATTCTTAAAGAAATCCTAGCCAACAGAATCCAAAAGTACATAAAAAACATTAATCATAACCAAGTTAAGAGATTTGCAATAAGAGATGTGCAAGGATGGTTCAGTATAAGAAAAACAATCAATGTAATTCACCACCTTAACAAAGGAAATACAAAGAACCATATGACCCTAGTAATTGATGCTGAAAAAAAATTTGATAAAACACAACACCCTTTCCTGATTAAGAGACCCAGTAAAACTGGAATAGTAGGGAATTTTCTCAACATAGTGAAAAGTATGTATGCAAAACCAAAAGCCAATATCATTTTCAACGGAGAAAGACTAAAAGCATTTTCCTTGTTAACAGGGACCAGAAAGGATTCCCACTGTCCCCACTTCTATTCAATATTGTATTAGAAGTACTTATTAGTGCAATACGACATCCAGATCGGTAGGTTGACAGTTAAACTTTTGCTATATGCATATGATATGATAGTGTACAGGAAATCCCAAAGACCCTCTCCCCAAAAAAACTGTGATAGAGCTAGTAGATCAATATTGTAGAGTGACAGGATACAAGATCAATATCCAAATTCAGTGGAATTTACAGTAACAAAGAGAACTCAAAAAAGGAAATTAAGAAAGCAATACTATTTATAATAGCCAACCACAAATTGATATACTTGGGAGTGAACCTAACTAGAGACACAAAGGACCTATACAAAGAAAACTACAGAACATTTTTGTGAGACACAATAAAAGACCTAAAGAAATGGAAAAATGTGCCCTGTTCATGTATAGGAAGACTCAATATTGTGAAAATGAAAATCTTACACAAAGCAATTTACATACTCAATGCAATTCCATTGTTATTGTTGTTGTTGTGTAACGTTGAGTCAGAACCAACCCATAGTAGACCCTCTGGCAGGCTTTCAGAGGCAGTTAATCGCATGAGAGGAGATTAACCATCCTTCTTCCGTGGAGCAGCTGGTAGTCTTGAACTGTGTGCCTTCGGAATTGCAGAGCAGCTTCTTGCCACTAGACAACCAGAGCTCCCTCTGGCAATTCCATTAGAGATACCAAATTAATTTCCCAAGGAAATTGAAAGGGAAATTGTAACTTTATTTGGCTGGAGAGCAAAGAGACCCCAAATAAACAAAGCATTTCTGAAAGACAAAAATGAAATGGAAGGCATAGCACCTCCTGATCTCAAAGCCTACTACAAAGCAATAGTAACCAAAACAGCATGGTACTGGTAAAATGTTAGGCACATAGACCAATGGAACAGAACTGAGAACCCAAAAATGGACCCATCTATCTACAGTCAATTGATCATTGAAAAGGAAATAAAGCCTATCAAATTGGGAGATGACAACCCTTTCAACAAATGGTACTGGGAAGACTGGATTGCTAACTGCAGAAAGCTGAAACAGAATCCACATCTCACACCATACACAAAAATCAACTCAAGGTGTATCAGAGATCTAGGAATAAAGCCCAAACCATAAAGTTCATCAAGAGACAGAGTGGGATCAAGCTTAGAAAGCTTAGTCTACAGTATAAAGAGACTGCTAAATACAGCCAGAAATGCAGTCTGAAGAGGATAAAATTGATGAATGGGACCTTCTAAAGATTATATCTCCATGCTCATCAAAAACTTTTTCCAACAGTGTGAAAAGAAAATATACAAACTGGGAACAAGCATTTAGCAATACCATCTCAGACAAGGGTCTGATAACAAAAGTTTACAGAATACTCCTGGGCCTCCAGAAGAAAAAGACTGATAATCCAATTATAAAATTGACAAGACATGCGAAGACTTTTCACAGAGGAGGACATTTGGATGGCCAGCAGACACATGAAGAAATCCTCAAAATCCATGTCAAATAAGAGAGATGTAAATGAAAACCACAATGAGATACTATACCACTCCAGTAACAGTGGAAGGTTTAGTAGGACAGCAAGTAATAAATATAAGAGAGGATATGGTGAGATAGGAACTTTTATACATTGTTGGAGGTATTGCAAGATGGGATTGCAAAATGGTACAACCACTCTGGAAGGCAGTTTGGTGTTTCCACAAAAAGCTGAACATAGAAATTTCAAATGACCCAGCTTTTCCAATTATTGGAATATACCCTGAGAAAATGAGAACTGAGGCACAGAAACTTGTACTCCAATGTCCACAGTAGTGTTATTCACCATAGCAATAACATGGAAACAGCCCAAATGTCCAACTACAATGGAATGGATTGAGAAATTATGGTACATCACACAATGAAATGCTATGAAGCAGGCGGGAGCAATGATTTGTAAATTACTACCTAACTTGGGATGGAATGGAGAGCATTATGCTGAGTGAACTAACTCACTCCTATAAGGACAAATACTATACAAGACCATTACTATAGAACATATATGATGATCCAAGGTGGGAAAAAGGAAGCAGAGGTGTAAGGATGGGTGGGTGGGTGTTCAATCACAGAGTTGCACAATGAGTGGAGGAAGGGGCGGGTAAAGGAAAGGGGAAAGATCCAGTGTGTAAAACAATGTAAAAGAACTTTGTAAATAAACCAGTATAAAATAAAAATGTTATAATTTTTTTTTAAAGTGGACTCATACAATATCTGTCCTTTTCTGACTGACTTATCTCCTTCATTTAAATCCTCTATATTCATACATTTTGCATGGTGTTTTTTAATACTTCATTAATCTCTAACATTTCATACTATTTCATTATGTATACCATAGTTTATTCATTCATATGTTGATGAGCACTTCGATTGTTTTTGTCTCTGTTGTTTTAAGATGATACTGCAATGAACATGGTTATGTACACAACTCTTCATGTCTCTCTTTTTTTTAAGGATATATATCTAGGAGTTGGATTACTAGATCAAATGATGTTTCTATTGCCAACTTTTTTTTTGTAAGCAAAACAATATAATTTTTTAAAAAAAATAAGAGCCTGGTTCAAATAAAAAGAAATCATTTTTTCTACAAATTGATAGTTTACATTTTTATGTATTTTCTATTTATTAGAGCATTCATTAAATAATTATTGAGTGTAAATGATGTTGCTCTCACAGTTTTTTTATTTTATTACATTTTTTAATTATTATTAATTTCAATGAACATCTACAGAGATTTTGGAATTCCATTC